AAATCTTAATGTTGAATTAATATCGTAAGTGAACACGTTTGATAAAAATTTAGAGAAATAAAAAGATAGAAAGAGAAGAAATTGGATCTAAGGAAAAAGAGAGAACGAACTTTGTTACCTCGCGCAATAATATTTCAAAACGCGTGGACGAAAGGGTTAAAATATTTATTGCTTTATTGCAATTTTGAAGAATAATATCCGTAACGGGGAATCTCGCGAACATCTTCACGTTCCTTGCCACAGGTGTAACCAATAATTCCGGCTACGCCCTTCGAGTTGTATTAATGAAGCGATATCGATCGACCGTTTCAGGATTTATATACTCGATCTCGCGGCTGTTAAATAACTTCTTCGCGGAGTGTTAAACGCGCGCGTAGCTCGACTCGTGCAGGTGTATGCCGGGGCCCCTCTATCCCGAGTAATAATCGTCGATAAATCGGCGTATCGGTGCCGATGGTAATTAATTATTGCTTTGTGGTTATCGGCTCTCTCGCGATGGAAACGACGAGTTGCGTGCGGATAATCCCCGCCGACGAAGATCCCTTCTATATTGAAAGGCTTGCAGCCGCGAGAGAGCTCGGAGCGCAAACGTAAATACAGAGCCCGGCGACCGCAAGGGACTCTCCGCAGCGTTTTACGGCTAAAAGCCGCCCGACGAATGAAGATTACTGTTATTGCAAGTGGTAATTCGTACCTAATATTCCGCGATGTGTAGCGGCCGCCGAGAAGTTTACTATTGCGCAAACACGGTCGCCCGGTTTATCGGATCAAACCGCTCTTAACCTTTGCTAAAACGATCCATTTATCTAAACAGGCGAGCAATTCATTCAACGAAAATGAAAAATATTCAAATTATAAAGAAACATATGTGCTATTAAGAAAAATAACATTTGATGATTTAATAATAACATAAAGTAAAGAGACATTACACATAATTAATAAATATACCAAAATAAATTTTTGCGGTAAAATATTTTATTTATATTTTTTTTTTATGAACTGGATTAAAAAATGTTTTAAATTTTATTAGATTTTTTTTTCAGAATTACTCGATAAAAATTTTCCAAAAAATTCATACTTTTCTTAAAAAAATTATAATTGAAGATTTTCAATTACGTTGTAAAATTACATTAAAAAGAGTTCGCCTTTCGCGAATGCCTTCTACGTGAATCGTGTTAAAAAATTTGGAATTATACGTCACATTTGCTCAGACGTAAATTAATGCTATATTGGCGGGTTACAACCGCCAGGGATTGGCGCTAAAAGCTTTCCATATTGCACAGTTTAATAAATATGTCCGTGCTAGTGAGAAGATATAAATTTGGTACACGGTATTTTATATAATTTATCACGCGTGTTATAAAGATGCACTTTCCGTAGAGAGGCAAAAAATATAAACGCGCGATACAGCCAATGTGAAGCGAATCGGAGATGTTGTAATCGTGAGATAATTTACATAAATTATGCGATATTCATCGTAATGCGAGAGAACTTTCGATACTTCATAAAATATTTATTTTATTTAAGACGCAAAAGAGACAGAAGGGTTTGTCGACGCGAATGGAACGTAAAACAAAATTAAGATAACGATCATTGTACGTTATATAATTTACGCGGAAAGCATTACGATAATTTATGCGATATCAATTTGTAGGTAACACTGTTTCTACGCGTGCAAGAGTGTAAGACGCGTTCATTCGATCTCACACAGTTTATTTCTTCGCAAGGCGAAATCCGCATTCGACGAGGTAGTCGTAGGGTGGGAATCGAATGGCCGTGTTTATCCGTAAAGTGCATGCGATGCGTGGTAAATGCGGGGGCAAAAGGAACGAAAAAAACGCGAGGATAATTTGCACGTCGGACCGAATGATAATTCGTGGCTCGTCGATATTACCGTATCAATCATTTTTGCGAAATTAATAATCAATAACATCGTCGAAATAACCTTCGCGAATTTATTCCTCTGGCCTCCTCGTGGTTTAGGACGTTATTAAATGCAATATGACTGAATTCCCTCGATTACGGCATGACGGTCATACACGCCGGCGAGCGACATAATGAGTGCGCGGTAGCGCCTGGAAAAAGGATAATTATCCACTTACGACGGGGCTTGCTTTAGTTTAGCGTTATTAGCGTGACGCCGGCCAGAAGCGGCGGTACGTGAAATTATAACCTGCAGTACAACTTAAGGTAAACCAAGAGACTTTATTTACCACCGACTTTATTTACTTCCCCGTTTGTGTATCGGTGGGCTTTTACAAGGGACCGAACGATCGCAGCGTGAATGTTTGTCGATTTTTTATCATTCGCCATGCATGAGTCATACACGTTCGCACATAAAATTGAAATTACCAACATTAATGGTGAGATATTTGTTGTTAAGGATATTTGTTCAGTCATTTTTATCGCAGATTCGACCAATGCGATCGCGCTTGACGGCTAATTATTATTACATATAATAATTTCTCATTTCGCGCGATTTCGTCTCCATCTCGTGTAAAATTTTGTATTCTTTTCCGGTAGGTAAGAAAAATCGTGCGCGAGAGTCGTGTACGACGATCGATTCGCGGATTTTCGCGAGGAGAAAACCGGAAAAGCGGCAAAGCCGTAATGCCGGCGCCGGATTTTGCCTTGTGCCGCCGAATGGACAATTAATTCCTCGCGCGCGCGGCATCAACGTGCAAAATTGATAGCCGGCACCTGACATACCAGCCAAGTCGGTACTTCGTAACTGCCCATTACGAAGTTTATTACGGTTTCCCCCGAGTACAACGACGGCTCTTACTATGGAAACCGCGCTCGCGCAAAGGCGCACGTGGTAAATACGTGTCCGCGAATTACGCGGAGAGGGGACCTGTTAAAATGGCAGATGCCTGGTCTCTCGCGCGTTCCCGTTAGGTATAAATAACTCTGATCTCAGCCGCGCGCATGGAGGCCCTTATCGGGTAAGCCACAAAAAAATTGCCCGCGAATTTACTAAAGAATCGGGTGTATCGACGCGTAAATTACGAATTCACTTCGCGCGAGTCGTAAATTCATTCGGTTGAAATAAAATCAATGTAACTTGTCTCGAGTTTAATTATCCCCTTTCTTTAATTCGACTTATTTGTTTATGATTATGTTTATCGCAACAACGTGGTGGAGAGTCGTTAAAATAAAATTAACCCTTTGTACCTCGGCAAGCGAGTCACAACTGCGCCGAGCGCAGTTCAATCTTCGCGTCGCACAATCACATCCTGTAGAAATTCGCGTGTATCTCGAAAGGAGAGCTCGACTTCCTGTCGGCCGCAACGTCGTGGCGCAACGATTAATCACTGCCGACGGCAATATGTCGCTTTATCAGCCGATTACTTTTCCGTTGCGTCATTAAAATCGGAAACAATCTGCGTAATATAATTGTAAAGCTGGCTTTTCTCGCGCGCGGAACACTTCGTGACACTTATTTATAATCGACGCCGCGATGCCGAACCGTCGAACCGGCTCGCTTATCGCGCGGCCGACGATATATTATCATCGATAGCCGGATATAATATAACCACCGTTAAATGGATTACGCTTAGATTTACGTGTCGATTACGGTGTGATTGAACGCGGCGCGGGACCGGCGACGCTGAATTGGAGACATTTGCGCGTATATATAAACGCGAGAGATTAGCGCGATCTACGCGAAATAAAACGCCTCGATACGACGGCGGTGTCTCCGAGTTAATTCCGAAGTATTAATCAAGTGAGTCATTTTGAGTCAACGATGATTTTCTCTCTCAGAGTCCCACACCTCTCCCGCCGCGTCTTCCAAGCGCTTTGCGGCACAACCGCGATACGATCTTATTTCCGCGCTGCGCAAGAAAAATCTTCCGATATGATATCTCTTTTAAAAACATTTAGCGTCGTTATTATACTCTACAAACGTTACACTTTTTATCTAAACTAATGTAATATTTTGTGTTATATTACCGAGATCCTCGATTTAACGACACGATCGTCCGAGCGTTTGATAGACATCATTCTGATGCCGTTCGATCGTTTCCATTTATCATTTTCAACATTCATTTAATTTTCGATTAAAATCTTAATCGGAGACACTCCCTTTCTTCATTATTCCGCTAATAGAGACGTATCGAATAAGCGATAAATAAACGGGCGAACGCGAGAAGATTTTCTTGCGAGACGAACCGAAACTTGCGCAGGTTCGTGGATGCGCAAGTGGGATGCGGCGGAACATAAAAGCGCAGAGGGACCGGAGATAGATATTAATCGACGCCGGGGCTTGTACGTACGTAATTTAGAATTGAGTTATCGGAATGTGCGTCGGCTCCTTCGGAAACAAAATTAATAACAATTTACGGTAATGGGCGGCCTCTCGTAAATTACGAATCGACGAACGGGCCTCGTTTTTAATTTCGCACGCCGCGCAAAGCCGGCGAAAGTGCGCGCGGCTCGCAAGGAAAATATCACGTCGCACAAACGGGGAACGAACAGCGAGAGATATAACTGTGTAATTGAACGGCTTTTAAATATTCATCGAGCGCGATTCATTCACGTTAACTCCCATTCGCCGCCGCTATTTTCGTGCGACTACGGCCGGAACGGATAAAAACGAGCGTCAATGACACGGCAGTGATAAATGCCGGTCCTTAAGCTCCTCCCCTCCGCTCTGCCTCCGCTCGCAGCGAGGTTTTACTACGCTTCAGCGATCCTCGATTTTTATATCGGATCGCTGCCGGAAGCGGTTTCCCTCTCGCGGTCGTTTCCGGTTGTGCACCCGTGTACGCGCTGATGGCGGCGCGCTGATGGCGAATAAAAACCGCGGTTGTGTTGCAGATGGATAATAATTCATAGTAATGAATCGCGGCGACGAGTACGTTCCGCGGAGGATAATTCCGCATTAAAGCGTTACGCACAGACCTTACGGACATAAATTTAAATTTCCTTTTTTAAATGTCCACACCTACGGTAATGCCTGAACCATATGTCGAACATTGCGAAAACATGAATTGCAGAGAGGGAAGCCAGCGGTTCTGGGGTTGCTCGCGGTGCTGCGGTGCCGGTTTCGGAGACAATCAACGCGGAGGACGATGCGGAAACGGACGACACTGGAAGCTCGACGACGCCAGTTTCGCCGGTGGTGAATCCTCTGCTTCAGGAACGCTCGAATTGCGAGGAGCTGAAACACGTGGCCTGCCACCTGGAGACCAAAGATCTCTGGGACAAATTTAACGAGCTCGGCACGGAGATGATCATCACAAAGACTGGCAGGTAAGGTCAAAGTACTCCAAGTTATCAACTTCCACTGCCTGAGAGAATGATTGATGTTTGGATCGTTTAACGCTTATCGATATCATAGATAATAAATGTTTGGGGGCCATTGATAAGTTTTAATCACACGATCGATGATTTTCAAGTTCGACGACGTTATGCAGTATTATTCGTTATCACGGTTGGAACGTTCTTTTTTTTTTTTTTTTTTTTCCTAATATCGCGTTATTCGATTATTCGCGACTTTAATTTCAAGTCACGTCTCTCTTGATTTTTGATGCATTTTGATTACATAATTCTGTTTCTATTGTAACATGATTCGGTAATACGTATAAATCGCACGCAACCTGTAGTTAGCTTTGTCAGCGTCAGAGTTGACATAACAAATGATAAATTTAAAATTGCGTGTAACAATACTTGAAAGCCCGAGACATAATGATTATTTTATGGTACGCTGATACCAAGGTGGAAAGGGGATAGCGTTCGCGCGTGTTTCACGACGATTAATCGAAGGCTCGCAGACGGAAACAATTCCAGACTCGTTTCTGCGAAAGAGGAAGCGTGGAAGGGGAGAAACGCCGATCCCCGAGGCAACCAGATGCTCCGGGGAATTCCCTCGGGACGATGTACCGCTAATGCATCGCAGGCTGAATTTCTCTCCTGGACAACAGTCGGGGCGATTGACTCTCTCATTACTCGCGGCCGCTCACCCCTTCGGCCCTGGTTCCGAAACCGCCGTCGCCCCCCCGGGGCGATGTCGCTGCAAACTCAATCACGTCCTGCCACGGGTCACGACGCGACACCCACGAAAATTCCCAGGGGGGAACCCGGCGATAGAAACCCGGGCTAGGGTTAGGGCGAGAGGTGTCGTTACCCTAAGCAAGCTGTCACTCGTCTGACACGTTATACCGAAACATAAGCAAACGTCCTAATCGCATTGAAATTACAATCTTTTAATCGCGGAAATTGACTCGGCGGGGAAAAAATGGTTGTTAAAAAAAAAAAGTGCATACATTAAATTGCGTACCACGCAAGACACGTAAAGTTCGTCTTTTTTTTACAATTTTTACTTATAAACAAAAATTTGATTTAAAAGGGGGAGGGGAAGAAAAAGAAAATTGGCGAGAATATTAGTAAGATTGCTGCAGCTATCTATCTTGCGGTAAACCAACGTTATTTAACAAGTGACTGGATACAACCGCCGATAAAAACCGCTAGAAATACAAGTACGGATCACGAACTCGGAAACACAGCGAGAAAGAGATAGGATAAAGACTTAGACATAAAATTGCTCAATTGGCTGGAGAAATGTAAAAAGTGAAGAGAAGTAATCGGTTAGGTAAAATGTAAGCTTAACACACGTGTACACATTTCCGCTCTGATGTGAGCTCCTTCGTGAGCAAACAAATTCAATTGCGGATAACAAGAAAGTAACATAATACAACGTATTGCATAAATAAAAAAAAAAAAGATAAGATTACACATATATACACACAATATAATCAAACTGTACTCCACACAAATATACTCAGTAATATAAAACTGCGAAAGAGTTAAGGCTACCTGAGCACAGGGGAGGGGGGGGGCAGAAACGGGAGAGGGGAACGGATCGGGAGGAGGGAAGGTAGAAGAATAAAAAGTGGGAAACGAGCTGGTGGCAAGCTAGCGGGTTAAATTGCTATATTGACCGTCAGTCAATTAGTCGGGCCGGTGTAGAAACCGGGCGAGCTTACGCCAGTTTATAAGGGTCTTTGGGACGAGCGGTGGCGACCGGAGGCGTGAGGATTCGAGTGGGATCACACTGTGAGGGGAGAAGTCCAGGAGGGATCTCTCAGGGCTGCCTATTCGCGGAAGGCAGTCGAGAAGTTTTATGTTCGCGGTTTGTCTCGAGGCTCGCGCGATATACCACCTTCTCAAACATATATCTCCGACTTAACGACGAAAACGCTAACATCGGACGCGAAGTTAACTATCAACGGGAATGGAGTTCTTTGTATCGATACCATACAGTATGGCGAGTTGATGATGGCGTAAAGAATGTACTTTTTAAGATAATCGCGTTATTTAAGAAAATACGAAAAATAACGTGGCAAATTATACGGCGGATAAAGTGCTGTTTATCACAAGATCGGTTATTTAGTTTAATAAAAATATTATCTCGTATGTAGATTTTATTATATATAGCGTAATTTACAAATTTTAGTATTAAATTTAATTATTGCCAGTTATCGTGAAAAAATTGTGCTCAGTTAAATCACGCTGTAGATCACAAGTTTTCTTATTTTATCGCCAAGATTTTTTTTTATACTTTTGTCAAGTATTTTTTTTCCGCGGACGAAACGAAAAAAAAAAAAACAGGTCTGTAAAGGAAGAATAAAGCGTAGCCGGCCCTGGGCTACGAGCTAACAAGATGGGGTGGCGAGGGTAGTCGCATAGACTAATACTGGAAGAATTCAGGAACTGGGAAACTCTCCGGAAGAGAAAGGAGGCGGAAAAGATGGGAGGGCCGACGCGGCCGACGCGCGCCTAATTGCCCGCCACGACGGGCAATATCCCTGCTCTTTATTCGTCGTAGGTTTCCCCTCTTTTGGGGGAGGGGGGGAAGGTTCGTTCCTTCAGCCGGGTGCGCGCCTACTCGTGCGTCGGTAATTAGATCTACGTCTTAGCGACATTGGTCGACGCTCCCTTTAGCCGTCAACTTATCATCCCCTATCGTCCCTCAGACTTTCCGCTAGCAGTCCCTAAGTAGTCTTGGAACTACCCTCTTCGACTCCTTCTCTCGTCTTACTCCCATATTACGCTTCTTACTGTCTATGAAGATTTTCTGAGCAGAATTCAATCATAGAATTTTTGAATTTTGGTAACTTTGATTGTAAAAAATTGTTTGTGTAATGTTTAAAATAAAAATATTTTCTCGATTTAATATTAAAAGCTTGCCATTTTTATTCCATTTGATGAATATATGATCAAAATTTTTGTCTTATGTATTGATTGCAATTTCAATACTTTTTAAAAATTTGTATCTCTCAATGGAAACTCGTTTTGTTCAAAGGATTTTTAAAGGTCTATATTTTTTAACTCGTAAGAAAGGACTTCTATGCGTCCCAAGGCCCAGACTAAATTTTCAGATACATTTTGTGTAAAGCCACCTTCCTCGTGGCGAAGCGGGAATTTGGCGGATAATCCGGTGGAAAAAAAGTCGCAGGCATCTTCGGGACTTGTGCCCGCGTCACGAGAGAAATGGTTGCGCGAAAGGGGGAAGGGTTGAAAATCAGACACAAACGAGGGAGGAGGGAGCCGGGGGCGGTGTGATGCGAGGGTGAGGGCCCACCTTCTCCCTCCCTCGTTCAATTCATTAACAAAAGACGGCTTGATAAATAAAAGCATTATTCACACTCGTGGCGCTGGCGGGATGAATGCATACCGAGTCGACAAGGACCAAGGAGAAGACGTAGATAAGATCGGCGGGTGTCCCCGCGTTTTAGTGGTCGAGCAGCGGGGGGCCCGACACGGTATTAATGTTTGGCCTCCGAGGCAAAACATTCACGCCAGGTCCCCTGCCCCCGTAGTCCCCTTACCACTAATCGCCAGTTCGGGCCCATCGCCCTCTCCCGGCCCTTTCTTCGCTTATTCTCTTCTCGTGCCCCTTCGATGACCGTGAGCGGGTCAACCCTAAAATTATCGCGAACGATCCCAGATCATTGATCGCTAAAACGCAATGCTCTTATTATTTCATTTTGAAAATATCCGAGGAGAGTTCTACTTCTGTCATTAGCAGAAGAGACGAAGAAGTCAATTGAGTTTCAGTTAATTTTATCGAACAGCCGTAAACGTTATTCTAAGAACCGTTTCATATCGGAATCGTCAAAAGAGTGTTCACAATTTCTGCATCGAGTCGAGAATTTCAATTTAATCAATAACGATTTGAAGAATTGTAGTATTAATTTCTGTATATTAGTATATAGTAGTAATTTCTGTACGATGAGTATGTTAACAATTGAAAAGTATTTTAGATTTGATTAGAGATCGAAGAGAGAGAGATCTCTTCTGACCTGAGAATGTGTATTTGTGTGCAGGCGGATGTTTCCGACGTGTCGTGTCTCATTCAATGGACTGAAGCCAGACAGCCGATACTCGGTTCTGATGGACATTGTACCGGTTGACAATAAGAGGTATCGGTACGCATATCACAGAAGCTGCTGGCTGGTGGCCGGAAAGGCGGATCCGCCGGCGCCAGCCAGACTCTACGTCCATCCGGATTCGCCTTTCACGGGCGAGCAGCTCCGAAAGCAGGTCGTCTCGTTCGAGAAAGTCAAGCTTACCAACAACGACATGGACAGGCATGGACACGTGAGTATCTTCTGAAAATTCCTCCACCCCTTCCTCCCCCCTCCTCCCTCCCCTTTCTCCTCTTCCATTAAAAGATTAAAAGATCTTGTCTCATTAAGGTCAATCGCTGAATTTACGGAGTTTGCGTAGATTGATAATCGAATTCCTATAATAACTCCTGCCAATTTTCGAAAGAATAAGTCGAATAAGTTAAGAAATATAAGAGGAAGAACGCGCGCGTGATGGAGAGCGTCATTAGTTTTGTATCGCTGATCGAATTAAGTTTTCCAAACTCACTTGAAGCTGTGAATAAAAACTAAGTAGCTCAGCGCTGAGCATTCTGTATGAATTATCTTCGTACTTCCGGCGTTTCCATATCGGCGGTTCTCTATAAAAAGCAGGATTCCGACGAAATGCAGACTGCAATTCGCGCTACGACGGATGTGCTAAGTTTCTTATTGAATTAATTAATTAATAAGCCTCATTCGGCCGTCTATTTCTTGCACGAAGGCATCCGGTTAATTCCTAGTGACACTTGTCAGACCGCCGCGAAGATCGACCTCTATTATTAAGTACTTATAACTGCAAGATGAGTAACTTAATCACACGATTCGCGCGCGTTTACGTAGTAAACGCGCATCGATTTCCCGACGCGAAAATGTAAAATGTCTCGAAGTGCCGTTCTGAATGATCCGCGAACCGGCGACAGGAGAAATGAAATAAAACCTTGCTCCTTATTTCTCATCCATCCAAGTTTAATCCTAATATTAGGGAGAGGGAAATATCGATTATATTTTTACGCAGAAATAAACGTATAAAAAACAATTGTAATTATTCTGTATTATTTTATTTAATAATATTTATAATCTCTCTAAACGTTACTTTTAAATTTGTAATAAAAGTTTTCCAAAAATCTCTACATCTCAGGAATATATTTTATATAAGATGGATTGAATTTTTGAAAAAGTACCATTACATACTGTACCTCATTTAGCTTTAGTAAATTTTAATTGTCGCATTCAATTGAAAATTTCTTTTCGGACCGTCGACATTTTCTGATAGACGGAGAATTTTCTACGTTTCCTCGCGATGAGGAAAAGGGGAGGGGGGGAGGGGGGCAGAGGGCAGACGTGGCCGTTCCAAGACAACTCGCGCATTAAATTTTTACACGTTACTCGGCGCAGCTGCGGCTAAAAGTACGACATCGTCGGCATCGAAGACAGCGAGTGCACGCCTACCGCGTCCTCCGGTTGTTGCATTAATAAATCGACCGGCATCGATTGTTAGGTTCAAACAAAGTTCAGCAAAGTGGAACGCAACACGGCAGCATTTCGCCTCATCGCGGAAAGCTTTTATGCCGCATTTATCTTACCTTCTCACGTTCTACCGTTTCACCGTTCGCATCGAAGAAACATTTTTCCCCTTGGATAATTTTCTTTTTCTGTAACTGCGGTATGTGAGACAATCGATTTAAATGAGTCTGCAATTGGTAGAGTTCAACGGTGATGACATTGCAAAACGTTTATGAGAATTTTGAAAAGCGTGATGTTTCAAGATAATTAAATGATAACGTGCGCGTGATATCTCAATGTATGGAGATTATATTTGCATTTGGCAGAAATATCATTATGTCTATGAGAGAAAGAGAGAGAGAGAGAGAGAGAGGAGGGGGAGGGGGAGAAGAGAGAGAATTAATCGAGTCAATTTTTCATATTGCTTTAAAATCAAAAAGTCATCAAGGATGTCATCACCGCAAATTCAAACAGCCTCGCGACGTCCCACCGCACGTCTCGCTTATGAAAAGGAGAAAAATGATGACGCCGATAAAACGAATTTCATCGTAGCGCGATTTAGTCGCTCCACGGGATAATTTGACAGTCCGTTGTCTCGTTTGTCATAAGACACGGGAATCTCAGCCGCGCGTCTTCGCCCGCCTCGCTCTTCTTTCGTCCCCCGCCCCGTCTCATTGTCAGCCCGAGTTCCTCTTTCTCGCCGGCGGATCGGGGCCCTTAATTCATCGGATGACTGACGTAAATAGGAACTCCGATCGGGGCAGCGCTTCTTCACGGTACTCATTTTGTATTCAGGGTATTACACGCTGCCAGACGCGGGCAAAGTGATTCTTTTGAACGGTAACGGGGAGCGCGCCCGGCCCGAGATGCTCCTAATTCATACGCTTTTTCATCCCGCGGCCGATCCCCGCCGTTGTTGTTAAATGCTATCTCGGCCTCGTCGCCGATTCAAATCCCCCGCCCCCCCCCGCCCTCCCCAAAGTCAACGCGACGTGAAACTCGATGTAATCTCGCGTCTTCGTCTCCGGGAAAAGATGTGCCGTCAGCGATTCGAGAAACCCTAATGGTACCCGTCGAAAACAAGAACTGGATGGAAATGCGAAGCACAAAGAGACGCGAGAAACCGTCCGATGATATCCACATCCACGTTCCAGTTGAATCGTTCGGTTAGTTTGTTACGGCGTTAATTGGACGAAATCGGACACCCGCGATTTTTTTTGTAAAAGATCTTCCGATTGCAACGTGTTTGTTTCTTTTATCCGTCTCTTTGAAATATGACTTGACGAGCAACCGTTTCAATTTCACCTTGCGAAGATTAATTTAATGATAAAAAAAAACGTAGCGTGTCGAAAATTCAAGTTCCATTGTCATTCAAAATCATCGGTCATCCGCAGCTCGTTTGTGTATCATGACGCACCTGGCATACGAAGAATTCATTCGCCGGGAGCGTCATGATGATTTTAAATCGATACGAGTAACTATTGCTAAAGTTCTGTCTATTGTAAAGCCCATCTGATACTTGGGTGAAGAATGGGAACGGTGGGACAGGTGAGGGGGGGGGGAAGAGGGGAGGGAGAAAGCGTCTATTTGGAAAAATCGAACGTTCACCGGACTTTATTTGCGAACGTATCCGGTCGTTCACCGTGTGCCGAGTGGTTGACGGCTGACGATACATACGGCTGACGATATTTATCGATAATTTGCAGCTGGTCCTGAACTCCATGCACAAGTACCAGCCGAGGATCCACCTGGTGAAGCGGCCGGACTCGGGCGTGGTGAAGACGATCGTGGACCTCGAGAAGGAGCCGCACAAGACCTTCATATTCCCGGAGGCCATATTCACCGCTGTCACCGCCTATCAGAATCAGCTCGTAAGTTTCACTTTGTTTCTCGCTACCGTTGCGACTCTCGTCGTTCCTTTTGCCCCTCGCTCGCTCTCTTTCTCGCTCTCTTTCCCCACACTCCTCGTCCTACCTTCGCTCGGCGGGTCCGTCCGTCCGGTCATCCGTCCAGTCGCCTCCGGTTCTCCGCGTCTCACCACCACGTCTCGGCCGCACGGGACTGGTTCCTCCATTTCGCCCGCCGCGGCTCTCTTTCATCCTCGAATAATCGTTTCTGTCGAGAGCGAACGAAGACACTGGCGTAACACCTCGCGGATACGTCGGCGTTAACGAGCGCCCTGCATGCGCTACGCTCGCGCGTATCGAAAGAATTCGCTCGCTTCCTTCTTGCGTAGCCAGAATTACGCCAGATATTCCGGAATTTTACTCGCTTTCTTCTTTTCTTAAAATGTATATATCACTTGTGCTTATTGAAATACGATGTAACCCTTTGATAATGATTTTTTTGTTCTTATATAAAACGAGGAATGTATATTTTTCTTCTATAGATTTGCGACATGTTGAATTCGAATCAGTACAATTTTATTTTTGACATAACAATCTTGACAGTAATATAAAAGAGAGAGAGAGAGAGAGAGAGAGAGAGGGAGGGAGAGAGAGAGAGTTAGATACATTGTAGCTTAAGATTTATTCCTCGACACTTATTATTAAGCGGCAAGTTGGCGACGTGGCATACGACTCAAAACAGATATATACTAAGAACGCGCAAATCTCCAAATAGACTCGCCATTGTTAGAATGCAACTATCAAAATGTGCAGCACGCGCAACAGTCGAGACGATCGTAAGGAGAACGCGGCATCTGCCAGTCGTAGTCCCGACCTCTCGGCGAGCCGTCTTCCGTGTCCAAGTTCAGATTCCGTGTTCAGCGCGCGAGAACGGCGGGTATTATCGTATTTCACGATAGTCATTTAGAGCCAGCCGCGACGTCATGTGTGGTCCAGGTCAGCGTCGTTCGCATTCCACGGGCGTCGCGGCGCGTCCCGTTCCGCCGCCGCCATCGCCGCCGCGCCGTCGAGGGGGCTCCGTTTCGTCGTTCCTTCCACGCCACGTCGGCGGCTGGAATTTCGGATCTCGACAGTAGGTAAGATCTATGATCCTCGGAGGCGACAACGGACAACTATCTGGCATCGTTTCCGATGCTTATCCCGGTCCCATTTAATCGATTTCTCTTCTCGTTGCCGCGAGAAACCACCATGATGCGGTCGTGCATCCCCTCGAGGGATGACAGGCTTTTTTTCAGAGGAGGAAATGCACAGTTCTCGATTCAGGCGAAATTCTTTAATCCCTGGAAGGCTACGCACGTGGCATGATTATAATTCTTTTTATCACCAAGAATCAAAATTTTGTTTTTGTCGTATTATAAGAACATAATATTTTTATTCAACATGAATAATTTCTTTTGTATTTTAATTAAAGTAATTACTTCGATTATGTAACTTACAGTTTTAAATGCTAAAATTTTTTAATTATTTTTATTATTTTCTCACTGAGAAAATATTTAGAACATCTGCTTAAATGTTGTTGGCATAGATAATTTTTACAACGAAATACATATGGCAATACAATTCCAATTATTGTAACGGAAAAAGTTAGCAACAATTCGCTTGAGCTAATGTAACAACTTGATATAATCAAGTATCTTACTGCATACAAACATATCTTACCTTCGATATCGTTATTCGTGATGTTCATTGCGAAACGCATTTCATCTCATTTGGATTTGTCGTCGTTTCAATGAAAACGACTACCTTGTCGCATTGGTAGACGAAAACCGACGGAATCAACATTGGTGACTCTAACGGGTGGTCTCCCGGAGATCCTCGACGGCTACGACGACGACGACGACGACGACGACGAGAGCGACGCGGCTGTTGATGATGATGATGAGGTGCGAAGAGACGCCCCGGCAATTACCTCGGGCCAGTTTCTCTTCCACGTCGTCCTCTCTTTTGTGCTTCTCGCTTTCTGGCGTCCTCTCGTTTCGTCATTATCGTTCTTTGCGGTTTCCTCGTCGTCTCCGAGCTCCTTCCGTCCGCCTGTGCGTCGCCGTTTCTTTTCTCTCCTCTCCCCTGTCTTCCTGAAGAGAAGCATCGAATGTCGTCGACCGATCGTCATTTCGATTGTCGAGATCTCTTCGGGATGATAGCTGGCATGCTGAACGTTCTTTCGTGCCGAGCGGAAGTCACGATCGGTCAGAAAGTAACCTCATGCGAAATGCTTGTCATGAATGTTGGCAGATTTACCGGAGAATTTCACATTTATGCAAAGTCTTGATCTCCTTCTCCAAGTGTTCTTTGTAACTTCAATCAGTATTCTCTTTAATCCTCTTCTGTCAGATTATCAATTAATAATTATATAGAGAGAAAAAAAAATGACAACTTGCCGAATGACCCTTGAATTTTCCTGGCATCGACCAATGGCGGTGCGTGCGAAAATCGCTGTCGCGACTTTTCAACGAGCTCGAAAATAGACGGGGTGGAGTGTAAAAGCGGCGAAACCGGGAGGGAAGAAGCGGCGGGCGATCATCGCGAACGTCGACGGTGGGCGCCGCGGTCGAATAAGAGCAAAGAGACGGAAAAGGACAGAGGTGCATCGTGGAATGCGCGTTAGTGACGTAGAAATGCAGTCGAGCGCGCGACTGCGGCCGGCGGATGTTGCGTGGTAGATGGATAGGTAGATACGACTTGTTTAGAATGTGAGACAAGCCCCCCGAGAGATTCGGTGAAAAAAGGAGGCTACAGTTGTTGACAAGATCGGGATCGGCGATATATTAAAAAGACCGCACGGAGAGATGGTTGATGAGCTTACGGAGATATACGAGCCTGAAATAGTTGCGGGCAATAAGATAAAGCAAGAATATTAATAACGTTAGTGGAATGCAGGGTCTCTCGAGGGGATGAATGGCGTTGGCAATTTCAACGATCACAATGTAAACGGCCAATTTTCATTCCTGCATTTTATTTACATTAATGATAAATGCGGATCAAAATAACGTTTGCTATGTGCTTTGAGCATTCCCATACGGCACACCAACTTTGCCGCAATGTTGCTGCAATATAGCTGTAAGATCTATGCTGTATACTGATGGGTTCGATCTTCCTGGACGGGATCTTCCGATCCTGGAGATGCCTAATGTACAGTTAACAAAAAGGATGAAGGATTCTCGCGTGAAACGCAAGATACCGCAGATCAGCGGCGACGAGTCGCGGTTGATTACCAATGGCAAACGATCTTAGCACTTTGGTTCGCACTCCCCATCGGCGCCGGTACATATCCATGTGTACAATCTACCGATTTTTGGAACAGATTCCCCGTTCACCGGCGTACACCGGCTCGAAAGCCATTCGTCACGGTTAGTGCGTTTCCTCGTCACTCGTCGTCGTCGTCGTCGTCGTCGTCGTCGTCATCGTCACAGTCATCGTCGGGGGTGCGCTCGTTTAGCGGGGACCACCTTTTTTTCCCCGGCAGTGCCGCATATCGTTGCGGACGGCGCTTTTTGCTTTCTGCTTCTCCGGCCAGGCTTCGCGCTTCCCTCCTCGAGCCTCGTAACGACCTACGCGACCGACTCGATTCGTCTTTCTCGCTCGCACCACGTCATAATTCATATCCTAACTGCCGCCTCTCTTCCTTCCCTCCGGCCGCACGCTCTCTCGCCGGGGAGTTCCTCCATCCGTTCTGCCGACTCCTTATCGCCCCCTGATGTCGCCTCCTCTCTCATGGTTAGTCGTGCTCTTCGTCGTTTTCCCCCTCGTTCTCCTTTCCTCCGTCGTTGTGGACATCCATTATGCGAGCTAACGCTTCCACGGACCGGACTCCGTCGGAGTCTTTGGCCTTTCTCACTTCTTCGATTTTTCTGAAACGCAAATGAGTTATAAAATTTTGTTCGCGATAATTCCAAGCAAGCTGAACTTTGATATATATTTTTCCATTGCTAATCAATGCCAGTACTATATCTTAATTCAATTAGAAATATAGAGGTCAAAATATAGAGGTAGATTATTGCTCTACCAAATTTTTTATTTAAAAAATCAAATTTTCTAATTGAGTTTACATTCTGTGAATTTATCTGTAATTAATAACGTTTATATTTTCTCAATATTTGTATCACAAATTGAAGAAAGTTATCCATTTTTAAAGATATTTATTGGAACGACGTCCGTCAACGTGTTATTCTCAACGAGAATGAGTTTTCGATTTTCCAGATTTATTTAGCAGTACAAAATCCATCGTAGCTCATTATCGTTTATTATTTGCAGAAAGGCTTACATCACTTCCATAATACAAACTTCAGTTCTTTTCGTTGCTTTACATTTATTTATCGACGATACAGTCGTCGCTTTTGTAGTCGTCTATTATTCGCGCACTTTGTACTCGCTTTCGTTGCTCTTGCCGCACCGAGGAGGTGCCCCACACTTCCCACTTTTAGAAATTTATTTGTCAACAAAGAGGAACTTCGCTTTGTAGTATTTCTGGTCGTCGTGTTGGAAGTCCGACGCTCGGCAAGCTCGAAATTTCTCGACTGCATGCGATATTACGATCCGTTTTCATCTATTCTGCTTTTCACTGTTATCTTTATTAAGTTCAAATCTCTTTGACTGCTCGCAAGTTACATATTGTATTTTTTTGATGGGAAAAATATCTATTTGAAACCATTGGCTTTATATTAGTACTTAAATTTTATACATTTGATAATGGTCAATATATAAAATTATTTTCATTTCTCTTGATTTTAAAATAACACAACATCTTCATTTTTATCACCTGAATATTTTTCTCGTGTATCTCGAAGAAATTTTTAATCCGACGTTTATAAAGAATAAAACATAACTTTTATAATGGGAGTTACAGCTACATATATAAAATTGTATTATAAGCAAACAAATAATGATTAACGTAATGTTAGATCGATCACCCTACACGTATCTAAGTTGTATCAAACTAATTGAAATAATCACACGAAATTATGTTA